CACCTCTCACCGGGATTCTTGCAATAAGAGAGCCCCTGTAGCCACCAACACCTTCCTCCAGTGTGATTAAAACTCATCTTGTCACTCCTCTGGCCTGTGCTCAGTTGCTCAGTCATGTCCGGCTCTTTCAGGCCTCAAGGACTGTAGCCCACCAGGCTCCTCTGTCCATGGGGATCCTCCAGACAAGAATACTGGGGTGGGTTGCCATGCTCTCCTCCAGGGGATCTTCCCAACCCAGGCATCGAATCCCAGTCTCTCGCATTGCAGGCGGATTCTTTAACTGTCACTCCTCTACTTCAACAGATTAATGGAACCAAATTGCTTCTGCCCAGCTTCCCACCATATCATTCTTGGAGACACTCTTACCCTTGTACCCTAGTCTTTGCTCTTCTTTCCATCCTCTCTTGGCCCTGGATATTTTTGCATACTATATCTTCTCCCTAGAATGTTCTTTCCCTGACTCTTCATCAGGCTAACTCATCTTTCAAATCTCACATTGAAACATCCCTTCATTAGGCAAGTCTTACCCAAACCCTCAAGCTGAGTTATTTGCACTAATCATGGATCCCTGATATCCTACCTTCTTCGCAATACGTTGTACGTGTGTTATTCTATGCTTCTGTCTCCACACTTCAAAATCTCCAAAAGGCTAAGGACGATGGCTGCCTTTTCAACACATTATCCCCCAGTGCTTACCAAATAACGTTTGCTGTAGAGTAAATGTTCAGTGAGTAGAGCATGGAACTCTCAGTCCCAGGGTCATGGGTTTGAGGCACAAGCTGGGTGCAGTTATTGCCTCCCTGATGGCTTAGATGGTACAGAATGTGTGTGCAATATGGGAGACCCAAGTTCGATCCCTGGGTCAGGAAGATCCCCTGAAGAAGAGAATGGCAACCCACTCTAGTATTCTTGCCTGGAGATTCTCATGGACAGAGGAGCCTGGTGGGCTACAGCCCATGGGTTTGCAAAGAGTCAGACACAAATGAGCAACTACTGCAAATATCCAATACGTATTTACTGACCAAATGAATAAATATTATAGCAAAATAAATACTAGATGATTAGTGACTGTTATCACTTGGCATTTATATGCTTCATACACAAGAGATGATTCTGAATCATGATCTCTTCAGAGTACTTACACATCATCTTTCCTTTATACATTTGGGATCATGGAGGATGCTCTCCAGCAACTGACACATTTCCAGAATCCAGTAACGCCTTCCCCTGCACATTACTGTTCCAATTTTCACATTCCTAGGCAGAGTTATCAGCCAAATCTTCCAGAGAGATGTCCTAGTGTTGATTCTGCTATAAAATAGAGACCTACTTTAGACATAAATTGATCTTGGATTTTGTAACCAGTAAGAATACCTGTTTGCATTAGTTACAGTTTTATTAAGAAATAACACTGAGATGGTACCACAAGAGGAAAGTAACTATGACTTTGTCTTTTCTCCTTTTGATTGCTGCTTGGGTCTTTAATACATTTTCTTCTTATCCTTATCTTTTTGATAATTCCCTTGAAGTATCTGATCCTCTCTTCTCAAACTAATCTATGCTTTCTCAGGAGAATTACACTAAATTTATGTCCACTTGGTCTTTATAGACTAATGCCATTAAACCTTGTTTGCTTTCCTTCCCATTCATTATGCCTTATTCATTAAAAATTGCTAATATTTATTCATCATGTACCAAATGCTACATATATATTTACATTCTACAACAAAGAAAGTATTGTATTTAATTTTTACAGAAAAGGAAACTAACAGAAAGGTTAAGTGACCTGTCCAAACCCCAAAGATACTAAGTATTTGAACTGGGATTTGAGCCCAAAAGTCTGTGCTATTGTCTTACTCGCTGAGATGCAATTTTCTTTTAATTATTTGCCCTCCTTTCCCTTGATTTTCTGTATATATTAGGTCTTCAATAAATACTGTTTAACGTTTCACTAGGCCATTATTATTATTATTGGAACATGAATGGTAGTATTCCTGATTTTGTTCTGTTTGTTCTTTCAACTGAAATTGAACTGAGCCTAAATAAAGACAAGCTGCTAGTGCAGCAAACGCAATATGGATAACTAGTAGTAAGAAGGAAAATCCTGTTTCGAGGTGTTTTCAAGAGGAAGAAAAGCTTTCCAGGGCTTCACCAGCTGGTGAGGTCAAACTGTTTTGGGAATCCTCTGGTATATAATGTTATTAATAATCATTTAAACTATCCCCCCCGCTTCAAAAGAGTGAGCCTGTGTAAAACATTTCCATTGTGTGTGTAAGACAAGGGATAGAGAGAAATCGGCAGTTTTCCTGGGCCATTGGTCTGTATTTTGATTCCTGTAATAACTCTCTACCCAAGTAATTACAGATAGGAGACTTAGAGATTCATTTCCTCTGTGTCTATCTCTCTGTCTCTCTCTCATGCTGTGTCTCTGGAGGGACTCCTAGGAGCCGGGTAGCCCGCCAGGCTGTAGCTCTGTGAAGCTGCAGTGTTTAAGGGGTTGTTTTACCGTCTCAAGTGCAAACTCCATGTGCGGGTGAGGGCAAACGCTCCTCCCGCCCCGGGCCGCTCGCCTTCTGTCCTCGCGGAGCTGTCGGATTCCCGCCTCCACACTTCCCCTGGAGTCATTCCCAGGCCGTCCCAGGATAACCCCTGACCTAGGCTGGGGAGGAGGAAGGCTGTCAAAAGGTAAAATAGGTCGAGTGCCGCTGAGGCCCGGGCCTTGAGAGACCCCGCGCGGCGGCCGGCGCCCCCTCTTCTCCGCCGACGCGGGGTGGGGGTCGGCCTGGTACGTTGTGCTTGCCCGCGCCTCCGGAGGCCGCCGGGGCTCGGCGAGCGCGGGAGCTGCGCCGCAAGAGGAGCCCGCGGCCGGCAAGGTCGCCACGTGAGAGTGGAGACTGGTCTAATGGTTAGGGCTTTTGAGTCCAGGTTTGGTTTCATCTCTGGTCACCTGGGTGACCTTGGGCAAGTTCCTCAGCTTGAGCCCACCAGCTTCTAAATCCAAGATGTGGGGAGAGTGGGGTGCTAGCTAAGTGCACCTGGGCGTGCAAGAATGAACTAAACGAAGCACTCCTGGCACACAGTAGGCGTTCAGTTACTGGCTAAACTGATTAGGAGGTCGAGGAGTTACAAATTCCCGCTCTGGGGTTCGAAACACAAGTTCGAGCTCCGACTTTTCTCGTTCTTCACAAAGGAGGGGTGGTGGGAGGGTAGCAGGAGTCCCTGCCCTCCCCTCCCAGCACCCCCAACTACCAATAGACCTCGGAGAACCCGGAGAGTCCGTCCCGGGCGCCTTCAGACGGCCCCGCTGCCGGAGCCTCGTAGCGTCCCCCGGCGCCCGCGGGGAGTCTCTTTCTCTCGAGCGGAGGAAAGATTTCTTCCGTGTTATCTCCCTCCCTCTCGAGCCCCCGAGCTCTCTCGCTGCTGCCTCTGTGTCCTGGCGGCCGCGGAAAGCCGGGTCAAGCCTCCGGCGGGAGGGAAGAGTCAGCCCCGGGGTGTGCTAGCCCCTCCTGGCCCCGAGCAGGGGAGCGAGGAAGAAGTGGCGTGGGGCCAGGGGGAGGTGCGGAGCCCCGGGCGACCCGCCCGGCCCCTTCCTCATTTAGCCTGCCTTCTGGGCTCCGCTCGGGGATTTCAGGTCCCGAGGCGCCGCCAGGTGTCGGTCCTCACCACCCTCCCTCCCTGGCCGTGGCCCAGGGGTCTACAGTGGAGGGGACGGGGTGGGGGGCACCAGCGCCGCGCGGCGGGAGTGGGCGGCGAGCACAGGCCAGCGAGGTAAGGAGGGGCGCGCGGCCAGCGAGGTAAGGAGGGGCGCGCGGCGGGCGGGCCGGCAGCCGCACGTGCGCGCGCCAGTGCGCGTGCTCCGAGGGGGCGTGGGCGGCCCGCCGGAGCCTCCCGTCCCCCCAGCATCCCTAAGTCCCCACGTCCCATTATCCCCGCTCCTCCAAACCCCACCCTCCCTGCTAATAATTTCCCAGTGCAGAAGCAGAGACAGACCAGGAGAGACTGCGCTTTCTACTCCCCTCGCACCCCCGGCCCCCGCCCTTCCTGCTATAAATAATCTGGACTGGCGGGTCAGGCACGTCACTCGGCCAGAAACCTGGACCCCGAGATTTTCTTCTCTGGGAATGGGGGGCAAAGGGTGAGGAGGAGAAGGAGACAGAAATTGCTCGTGAGTAGTGAAGAAAAGCTTGCTCCTGACTCCTAGAAAAGACCAGGCATCATTTTCTTCTTCTTTTTTTAAAATATATATATATATTTCCGTGTCTTATTCTCCACTCTACGTACCCCCTCCACTCCCGGCCCCAAATCCAACCCATTGCTCAACACGCCTCCCATCGCTTTCTTCCCTCCCTCCCCCTTCTACTCCCGCTCCCACCATTCCTGTTCCTCCCTGCCCCCCCACCTCCGCCACACAACCCCCACTTTCAGCACCCATCTCGCTCCAGGCGGAGGATGCTCAGTGCCTTGGAAATAAAGTTCAGATTCCTTTCCCCGCCGTTTGCTAAGACCAGAAGTCGACTCCCAGGCACTCATTTTCCCCTAGCACTACACACCTGCTCTCCTTTGAATTCCTCATCTGGTTCTGTATATTTAAGAGGAAACACACAGACACACACACACACCCCAAACCCCACAACCCGCGAGGTGCGAAACCGCCTCCTGCCACTACCAAAACTTACCAGACGCTCTAGTTGTTTTTATCTTAACAAAAGGACAACAAAGATTTTTTACCGTGGGTCCTCCCGTAGGGTGATTTTTCTATATTATCCAAATACGTATATATTGTACATATATATTTATATATGTGTGTGTGTTTTCCCTTTTTTTCCCTTTAATTTTTTTTCCCCTTTAACAAGAAAATCTTCTCGGTCCCAGGCAGCGGCTGTCCCTTTGATGTTTTGGTACGCCGTGCGCATGCGCCTCACATTAGAATTACTGCACTGGGCAGACTAAGTTGGATCTCCTCTCTTCAGCGAAACCCTCAACCATCCAAAACTAAAGGGATGTGGAGAGTCCGGAAAAAGGACTACTTTGGGATTTGGTCATTTCCCTTAATAATCGCCGCCGTCTGTGCGCAGAGGTAAGTGTGCCTAGCGTTTCTCTTTTTCCTTTTTCACTTTGAAGGGCTCTGTCTGCATACCTCTGTGAGCAAGATCTGTAGTGAGGATCAGATAGCTACTGAAGCGCCGAGTCTGCCGTTTTATTGATGCCTGTTTATTGTCTTTTCTTTCTTTAGTGTCAATGACCCTAGTAATATGTCGCTGGTTAAAGAGACGGTGGATAGACTGCTGAAAGGTTATGATATTCGACTGAGACCAGATTTTGGAGGTAATGGGGTTGCCTTGGTAATAAGAAACAGCCCAGCAGCTATTGCCTAAGCTGCCTTTTGAGCTTTGTGCGCTGTCTTTCCTCTCCCTTACTGTGGGTTGCATGTGGTGTATTGACTGAGTCTCTGTGTTACCATATTGAGAAACTGATCCAAACTTAAGCCTGTGTGTTACTCTCCAGCATTTAGGTGGTCTTTCAGAGATACCTTCTTAGCCTATACTGGAGACTGCTGTCTTCCAGCTTTCTCTGTTTAAATTCTTTGCTTCACCGTCTTTGTTTTGCTGCGATGCAAACCTCTTAAGTTTAATTAATGTTGTGCTAGTGAACCTGGCTTCCTGAAGGCCACCGGGAACGTTTTTGAGGACAAGATATGCAGACAATTGGTTGAGAAGTGGCATTAACCCCCTGTGCCCGCCTCCTTTGGAGGAGTTCAGGCCGTGGTTTAAATTGGCTACTTTCTGGATATTATCCAGTCCTGGAAGCCTCACTGCGGGGGACAGCTGGGATGGGGCCAGAGGGGACCTGTGGGGCTTGGAGGACAGGGAGGGTAGGGGGAGAAGGGCCAGAGATCTCTCTTGCTTCAACCTTAGATACAATGATATGTCCATTCAATTTTACTCCAGACTCTAACAAATCTCAAAGAGTTAAAACCTGCACTGAAGCGGGTAGGGGGTGGGAAGAATAAGAAGGGGGTTTCAGTGGTTTATACAACATTTCCCTTGAGCTAGTCCAGCCCAGCCGGATTCAGGTGCTTTTGTGGGTTGTGTGTATTCTTATGCTGAGACATCTGCATATGTATAAGAGCTGGAATCCCTCACCCATCGGGGCACGTGCATGCCTGTTTAATAGTGCATTTCTCAGAGAACTACCTGCCACCCTTTTCTTAAATGAAAGGAGCAGAGATTTGAAGAATTTGAGGGTTAGCAGTGGGGAGGGATTTGGGGAGGACTGTCCCGTGCCCACGCCTGGGGACTACTCTTGCTAAGAATGCACGAAGTTCTGAGAAATCACGTGGCTGATCCTTTTGGTTTTCAGGTCCCCCTGTGGCAGTGGGAATGAACATTGACATTGCCAGCATCGACATGGTTTCTGAAGTCAATATGGTGAGTATTAAGGTTTATAGCTGTGTCTTCACAGACCTTCATTTGGGGACAGGAAGGAGAAAGGATCCAGCCAGTGGGGGTGGGGTGTGCGTTGAGTATGTGTATGAAGTGTGGTGAAGGCACTGTTTTTGAGATTTCAGAGCTGGCTGTTTCTGGTCCTTAAGGGCTTTTCCAATCTGATTTGAGATCGTGGGACCTGGCAAAGAGGGTGTAAAATGCATCACATACTCACCTGCAAAACATAGCCACATGCAAGAGAACCCCTGAAGAAGTCATATTTCCCAAGGTTCAGTGAAAAATCTGCTTCATCAAGTGATTTCTCTGAGTTTGGGGTATGCTCAGAGAAAGAGGGAAGAGGGGAGAAACAGGGAGGTGCTTGATTTGACATTTCACCGAGAATGCAACCTGGGAACTAAACTATAGCAGAGAGGCTTAAAAAATGACCCTCAGGTGCTGATAACCACTTGTTGCTTTGGGAGATGCTGTCTTTACAGCTGATGGCAAGCCCCATTCCCTGCCAATTGCTTACCTGGTCCTTTAACCCTTCTTGCACACCAAAATAGAAAAAATAAAAATAAAAATTGACCAGCTGGTTTTCAAAACTCACGCTCAGACCCATGTATCATCTCTGGTCACTTCTGCAATGGTATTCAAAGCATGTGTGACTTATGGACAGCAGCACTCCTTACTTGCCTCCTCCCTGGACTTGGGGCGAGTGCTAAGAGAAAAACCCTCTTCCCCTTTGGGGAGCCCTTGGGGGAGGGGAGGGTTTGCTTCATGCAGGAGCGCCCCCTGCTGCCCATGTTGAGGCACTGCAGACAAGACAATGTCAAGTGTCCCAGATACCCCTGTTTACTTAGGCCTTTTCTCCAGAGACTTTTCTACTCTGTGTTTTTGACGTGTTGGTCTTTGGAAAAGTCTCTCTAGAGTGGCCACATTTGAATGTAAGATGCCAGTGTTACTTTAGTCCTGATAGCATACAGCACATTTCAGAAGAATGTGCTGTAGTGTAGTTCTGCCTGAAAATGGGGTGTATTATTAAAGAAGAGGGTCTAGTGTGTGATATTTTAAGCAGAACAGTTCTAAGCCAGCCATCAGAACTCGACAGTTGGGACACTTATTAGTTCACTCAAGAGAGCCAAATATTGGGTAGTGGATATGTTTTCAACATAATATAAATGTTCATCACTCCAGAAGTCAAATTATAGAGGAAGCCCAAATAACCAGCCCAACCTTCTACAATGTCCAAAGTTCAGTGGAAATCCTGAGCTATCACAAGCTTATGAAACATCTGTCATTACTTCAGAGAATATGCAGCTCTTTCAGTGATGTTCGTAACAACATTTATCTTGTTATATTTTGATTATTGGTGAAGTTTTTTTATGATAACAGGATATAAACACAGACTGCAGATACTGTTGGATGATTCAGAACCATAGACTTCCCACACATTATAAGAATCTGCTGAGTAGGTATAGAACATATCTTGGGAAACTATTTAACTCCTCATATATACAAATACTCACTTTTGTGAGATTTTAGAGGTCTTTTATCAGTTTATATTTTGAATTTTACCATAAAATATAAGTGTCCTATTATGGATACCTGCCAAATCCTAGGTAATCAAATCAAAATTGTGTGGCTGAAAAGAGATAATGGAAACCAAGTGTAGTTCTATGTGTCCTGTCTTTTGAATTTTTATTTATTTATGCTCTTTTCCCCCACATTTTAATTTGTCACCTTCCTTTCAGAACATTAGAAATGTGGGATTTTATGGGAAAATTAAGAAATATTTAAGAATCTAAAAAATTAAGAATCTAAAGAAACAATGATGTAGTGGTTAGAAGTTGCTGCAGTAGAACTTGGATGTATAAGTTAGCTAAGTACTTAGACCTGTTATATTCCCAAATGGCTTAAAAACAGTAGCATTTTTTAAAGTTTTTTTTTTTTTTCATTTTTCACCAGCATGTAGCATTTGGGAGAGGTATCAGAACTGGACATGATGCCAAGACTTGCTAGTCAAATATAGACCCAGCTAAGGCACGGTGTCATCTCTTAAAGCTATTTACTGTTGCATCAAAGTCATGGGATGTTGAAAGTGCAAAAACAAATGTCAGGTTGTAAATAGGCCAGTACTGCAGCATTAATGATTAGAACCAAGTGTTAAAAATTCCATGCTAGATTCCTTTCTTAGCCTACTGCTAATACACGTGGACTTGTCCAGACCCAGTTTTACTTGCTAAAAATTAATATTTTATGATTAACAGTCATAATGACTTTAAATTAATCCTTCAAAGAAAAATTTTGTCACATTGGGTATTATTTTTTAAGTATGGTTATTTGATTTGAAGCAACAGATGGGAAATTTCATCCCTAATGTCTACATAAAAGAAGATGTTTATGGCATACTGCCCACTGTATACAAGTCTAAAAGGGATAGTATCTTTTGAATGGATTCAGCTTTGAAAGAATGGTTGATTATTTAAGTGAAACCTCAAAATTGATTAACACACATGTTTCTGCCTCATTGTCCTTTATGGCCTGCAACCTCTGGTACTTGTAACTCTCTTTGATTATAGCGAATCTTCCTTTGAAGAATGGTCGGTACCCAAATTATCTCATTTGTATTGAAAGGAAAAACGGCCCTTGTCAATGGTGTTCCTAGTAAAAGACAATGATAGAAAGACCTGAATACAGGTTTTGCTTCTGCTGATCAGTCAACCTGAGGGAATTGACAGCTCGATGGAGCTTGATTACTTCACCTGTTAAAAAGGAATAATAGTCCCATTTTAAGTATTTCAGGTGACTACCAGAATTGACACAATGGTGCAAGTGAAAGTATTGGTGTTCCATGAACATAGCTTATGTAGGAAACAGATGAGACCCAGTATCCGTCCCAGCGTCTGCCCTAAGTGTACTTGGGTCAATACTTTGTATTATTTATATTAATATATTAATGATTTATATTAATAGTTTATAAAAATTAATCATTTATATATGGTCTCAGTTTCCATATATTGGAAATGGATGTGTCAAATTAACGTATAAGTCAAAATTACATGTGTCTCTGCTTTGGTTTATTATAATAGCTCTGTAGGGTACAAAGAAATTTCAGGACTTGAAACCCAGCATAAATATAGAAAAATGTGGAATTCCTAAATGGAATGCAGTTGTGAGTTCTTGGGTGATCATGGTCTGTTACTCAGCCCTGTGACTCAGGTGACTGTTGACCCAATGGAAGGACTTTGGAAGAGAACATGATCTCAATTAGAATGCTCCTGAGCAGAAAGCTTGGCTTTAGCTTGAAACATTTTTAGATGTCTTGGTTAAATTGGCAGGAATCTTTTTGTTAAGATTCTTTGATGAAAATGCGTTTTAAGATCCAAAATTGGCTCTGAAGGATTATGGACTGAAATAGCTTTCTCTTCATTTAAAGCAGATTCTTCTCCATCTTGAAACAACACATTTGCCAACCGAAGAGTGAAGCAATATTTCACTTTTGAGGAAAGAATTCTAGTAAACACATATACAAATTACCTTTTTATGGAATGGTGAATGGCAAAAAGTGCTGCCTTTTTTTTTAAAACAGATGTTCTCTTGAATCACCAGCTGCACAGTTTAAAATTCAGTTCGACACAAATTCTTATTTAGCAGCTACTATGATCTATCCATGTGTTGGGCCTTAAGGACAGAGTAGTGAACATGAATGACTTGTTCCCTGACCTCATAAAACTTAATATCTGGTGTTCACTATTGTTAATTCTAGTGCAGGCTCCTGTTGCACTTAGGTTTAACATAAGGATTTTCTCTAAAAATTTTTATGAGTAGCCAGTTAAGTACTTAGTGGTGTGTGTTTCCCATGCATTTCTTTATCCCTTGTTGATTTCACCATTCACTTGGTATTTGATATTTGAAATTGCCTAATATGTTACAAACATCTTCTGGTGTCTTAATTTGTGTGTATAAAATACATGTAGCCAAGGTTATGGGCTTGCCTGGTGGCTCTGTGATAAAGAATCTGCCTGCCAATGTAGGAGATGCGGGTTCCATCTCTGGATCAGGAAGATCCTCTGGAGGAGGACATGGCAACCCCCTCCAGTATTCTTGCCTGGAGAACCCCATGGACAGAGGAGCCTGGCAGGCAAAAGAGTTGGACATGACCTAACAACTAAAACAACATGTTGAGGTTGTGTTATCTTCATGTGGTTTTGCTCTCTATCCAATGATTGGTTGGTTGTTTGACACTGTGAATGCCACAGATATTGGGTGAACTATTTGTTTTTAGAAGAGTAAATCATTATTATTCACTAGACACAGTATCATATATGTGGAGAGAAAGAGCATAGAATTATAGTCATTAAATTCAAGGCACTGTTTAAGTTACTATTTGATCAAGAAATGTGAAAGGAATTGTGAAAGAAATGTGAAAAGAATGTAGGATCATTGAGTTCTTTGAAAGCAGAAATACACATATTAGGAATATAGAATTCTGAGGTATCACATAGAAATTACTAGGTAAAAATGGGGTTTAGAAGTCTGTGGAAAATGTTCCAAGCAGAAAGATTGTCATATAGGAGAAAAAACTGGAAAAATAAATGGGATTAAGGATTTGCAAGTAGCTTTAAATGGCTTGATTTGGGAGTGGGGGTAAGGAGGTGATAAGAGTTGGTATTGAGATCATAAGTGGTGGTCAAGTTATAAAGATAATTTTTGTAGCTTGCAGAAGGGTTTATATTTTGTTCTAAAGGCCAAAGGGACCCGTGAAGGGATGTCACTGTGAGAATTGCTTGAACAGATTCTTAGTTAAGGAAGAAGCTTTTTAAGTGTGGAGGGTGGAGCAAGACCTAAGGTTGGGATATGAGATGAAAATCACTACAAAAATCCAGAAAGAATTGATGAATGGAGACAGGGACATAAAAGAGAAGATACAAAATTAGAGCATTTATGAGGCAGAAGTGACAGGACTTGGTGAAAATCCTAAGATTCTGATGGGATCATTT